GAAAGATCTCTCCCCCCACCCACCCTCCCTAACCCGAAGAGTTTCCCCAGGAGGATACCATGGTCAATGGCATCAAAGGCCACTGAAAGCTGTGCCCCCCACCATCCCTAACACCGAGAGTCTCCCCGGGAGGATTCCGTGGTGAATGGCATCAAAGGCCACTAAAAGATCGAGGAGGACAAACAAGGACATCTTGCCCCAGTCGGCCTCCATCAAGAGGCCATCTTGGAAGGCAACCAATGCGGGCGCCATACCTAAATACAGACTGGATCGTGTGAAAGGAATTGCTTTCCTCCAGGAGAGCCTGAAGCTGATTGAAGTTGAAATCACCCAGAACCAAGACTCTGAGGGACCTCGATGTTGCCGCTGAGATGAAGTCCATCAGCTCCGGAAAAGAGAGTGCTGGATCCCGGGGAGCACGGTAAACCAGCCCCATCCCAAATCCATTCCTGGTCCCCACCAACGCATGGTCTCAAGGCCTGGGATGCTTGAGGCAGAGAGCCTAACAACCTTGAAGGTGTTTTTGTAAATGATGGCAACTCCCCATTCCTGCCCTTCCAGTCTCCCCAGATGTTGGATGGAATATCTGCATAGGCAAAGTCGTGAAAAGGCTACGCTGCCTTCTGTGCCCAAAAGGGGCTCAGTTGGACAAGCTCGATCTATTAAAAACCAACTAAAAACGTGGATGTATAGACAGGCCTTCCCTTCCAGTTAATTCCTGTCCTCTTTCCTTTTTTTCCTCTTTATTTGATTTATTTTTATTTTTCCCATCTTGTAGAATCATTTAATTAATTAATTGTTATAATTTTTTAGAACTTGTTATCCTTATGTTGTAAGCCGCCTAGAGTGGTTGAAATGACTAGATAGATAGACGGGGTATAAATACAATAAATAAATAACCAACATTTTAAAAATATTAAGTCATCCAGGATTGATCCTGGATTTATTGGGTTTTATTTGACAAGGATCTGGCGTTTAACAACGTCAGGGATAGAGTGGAGTCTGTTACCCCACTTAGGTTATGTTCTGTTACTCTAATGGAGAGACAGATCTGAGTTCCCAAGAAGCTGGCCCATATGAAGAGACTGAACAACCACTTACAGTTTTCCACTTATTCATGTAACATTTACTATATTTTCAATGCATACAATAGTATAATAGATATCGAGGGGCCCCTCACTCACACATTCATCCTATCTTACACACCAACCCTGAATTCCCTCAGTTGACGGAAAGGTGATTGCTTCGCTGTCTCTCGGTGTTCAGCCGTAGACATGAAAGTGTGGATGCCCAGTTGCAGTGCTGTTCTGGAGCACATCAGCCATGGAAATATCCCTAGCTTTTATAGTCGAGAGTAAACATGTTGACAAAAGGTCCTCTTTGTGAATCAATCATTTTCCAGCTTCTATTTTTCCCTCAGGAAAAATCAAAACAGATCATTAACTAACTGTACAGATAATACGTTTGTAGATATGCTGTTCTCTGGGCCTTTCAATGTCACACATCCTTA